GAAAAGAGTAATAAACTTTTTATTATGTTTTACGAAAGCATGTATGTTAACCAAGATCATTTCATTCATATCAGTCAGCTTATCGCGATAGTAATGACATGAGCCCCGGAGAGCTGCTCAGTAAGTATTCTGCTACGTTTTTACAACTCCTTGTGCATATATTAAATATATTTTTGAAAAATGTTTTTATCCCCGCGGGTAGACAGCAATTTGAGGGTATATGAAGAAGTTTTACGCCAGGAGCAATCACTCAAGAGCCAGAACCATGAGGTGGCCGGTAAGTTTAAAAGAATCATGTTTAAACAAAAAAATATATATACACCTCACGTCAAAAATTAAATACTAGTTTTCTATTCTCTAAAAAAAAAAAAAGAAAGCGTCCCTCACCCTGATCAGGAGCAGCGCACAGAGGACACTTTGAAAAGTAAGTATCAGCAGCGTTTAAGTTGTAATAGGTTATCACCTCGTGGTTTTTCAACTCAGTTCCCGACTGCGTTCTGCTTCAATGCTCTGAAGGCTCCAGCCTCCTCGTATACAATTCGCTAGACAGAGGGGAGCACCAGAATCAGGACTCTGCAGACCCTCAGCGAGCCCTGGAACAGCAGCAGCGCCCGCAAGAGGGGCCAACACCTCCCCAGCTCGAGGAAGAAAACCCCAGACGGGCAAAACTCCAGCGTTCTTCTTGTTCAGCCTCCTCCTCTTCTCCCTATTCATACGGTAATGCTATTTCACCCCAGCCTTTATTATTTTTAAAAACGTAATGTATTTAACAGCACCCAGCTCGTAATCCTCCTTCTTTATACCCATTCCTTCAGATTCACGTACTCGTTGGAGGAGACCTAAAGCAAAACGTAGATGTGGATGTTCTTCGGGTGGAGACAGCACACGGTTCATCGCTGATGCCCGATGCCACTCGAATCTCATGCTTCAACATCTCACGAGATTGTGTGAATCTTATCAAGTAATGAGTGACATTCTCGCCTGTTACAACCGAGACGGTGTGATTAAGAAGTAAGCTTACTAATGTTTTGAGTAATTTCTCTGTGTTAGAGGATGTCAGCCTGGAATGTAAACTTAACTCATTTTGATGTGTTAGATGACTTGATTAATAACTTGTTGATAAATAATTCATCAGAAAACCATCCGTTACCTGTTAATCCATCAGATTTTGATTTATTAGAATTTGAAGTAAACAGACTGTTGCAGAGAATACGTCAACAAAGAAACTTTCAGCGAAAGTCAAAATAGCCCTTCACAAAGC